CAAGTTTTATTTCTGAAAAAACTACTTTGTAAAGCTTTGGGGATGAGCAGGGATTATGAAACTATATATCCAAAAGAATATTATTTAACAGTTATTTTTTAAAGTTTTATATAAAAAAACGCGACATAACATAACGGGGGAGTGTTTTCTAAACTCATTTGTAGCGTATATGAATTGATCAACAAAAATTTCTAGAATTGATTTCCAAATTTGGAAATCTCCCTGACTGTAATTAATCCAGAAAGAGTACGTGGGTTACACAACATTTAATCAATTCTCTGCAAAAGGAATTTTATGAATGAATAAATAAATAAAACGGACTATAGTATTCTCAAAACAAAAAAAAAACAATTAAACACAATAAATCAATCAAGTCAAATTTTAAATTTTATAAATACATTTATTTTTATATAATGCCATATAATAAATTATTATCATCAGAAAGAAGGGGATTTGTACATAAAATTTATAATGAAATGCATAATAATTCTTTGGTTAATTCTGATAAAGAAAGTAGAAAAGATTATTTTTTTTCATTAGTCAAAAAAAACAAGGAGCTTTCTAAAAATGAAAAAAAATATTGTAAGGAAAGGTTTATTTATGATTTTGAATTAAATAGTGCAAGGGATAAAAGTGGAAAACCAAAAAAATGTAACAAGTATAATTTGACAAGTTATTCTGATAGATTCTGTGAAGGTTGCATTAGTTTACAATTACAGAGCCTTTTCACTACTTGGACATCTGGAAATAACATAATTGATAATTTTATTCAACAATGTCAAATTCTCTCATCTCTGCCAGGCTATATTTTAGAATGGGTACCTTTTGAGCAATTTGAAAATGTAACAAAGCTGACAGAAGGTGGATTTAGTTCAATTTATACTGCTACATGGAAAAGAGGAATTGTTAATGATTATGATGAAAATAAAAAAAGATTTAGTTATTTTGGAAGGCAAGCAGTAGTATTAAAAAGTTTAAATAATTCAAGTAATCCAGGAAAAGGCTTTTTTGATGAGGTTGGTAGTTGTCATTTAAAACAATACTTATTTTATGATACTAATTGATTTTATATTCAACTTCAGGCAATGAATTATTGTAAAATTAAATCAGGGTTGATTAATCCTTGCTATGGTATAACTAAATTCCTGGATAATGGAAATTATGCAATAGTTTTAAATTGTTTACCAGAAGGAAATTTAAGAAGTTATTTGGTAAGAAAACATTTAAATTTAACATTAAAAGGCAGAATTACAATCTTTAGATATTTATGTAATGCATTATATCGTATACATGAAAAAGGTTTAATCCATTGTGATTTACATAGTGGTAATATACTTGTGCAAGGAGGTAAT